TGGGAAAGGTTTCCTTCTGCGATGAGAGCGAAACATGGAGCACCACTGCAATTATTCATAGGAGATGATGGTTGCCCAGTGCCTTAATTAGCTACAGAATATTCATTAATTCTTCAACTAATTCACTTAGGGAAAAACCGCATCAAAGTGGTGGACTGTGCATCTCCTTTTTTCTAAAAAAAAAGCTAAAATAAAATACGTGTTTTATTTGGTTCCCAACGTTTCTTTTGAAGAGGGTTTAATCTCTTCCTAAAAGAGCTAAAGACAGAACACAAGGCAACTACCTCATTTTGTGAAATTGATGCTGGAACCTCTGAGCCCAGCATTCATTACAAATTCAGCATCGGAGCCACTTACTTGACAGCAGACAGCTGGAAGTGGAGGATTAAGGGATGTCAGGAGCCAGGTCTGAGGCTAATTCTCAGTAGCCTGCCTCATTCTTCACCCCTGAACGCTTAACACATCATTTTTCTTACTGATACCTATGATGCAAGAAGAGCAGCTAAATTCAAACATCACCGTGCCTCAACTGCAGACGTCTCTGTTCGGAAGCATGGACGCAGATACGGGCTGGTGACATCAGGTTGTACAGATGCACCTCCCGGATCATACACGTATCAAGAACAACCACACTGCAAGCCTGAAAACAAAAAAAATCCCCCAAGCAGGGCATCCTGGCTGCACTGCCGCGCAGGCAGGAGCGCGGGGTACGAAGCAGAAACGAACAACGGCGATAACTGCAGGAGCAGCGGTGCATCGGAAACCTATCACAAAAGGCACTAAACCTCAATTCCTGAAGCCAAGACACTGCCCAACGTTTTTGCGTTTTGCTGAAGCCAAACATCTCCCCTCTTCCTCCTCCTCTACAAATGGAGCTCATTTATCTGCTGTTAGCATTTAGAGGTTTTCACTTCATCACCTCACTTGGTCCTGTGAGAAGTGAGGCAGCATAGGACGCGGCTTCCAAATACCCCTGCATGGCTTTTATCAACCTGACAGCATCTAAAGGACGGAAAGCGTTTGTCACAGCCCGACTTCTTCTCAAGCCACCACAGTTTCTAGAGGACTATTTTACAACATCCTCAAGCCCAGCCATCGTCCTTCCGCTGCTTCCCCCAGGAAATTACATCCCCGCTAATTACTCTCACTGTCAGGAAGCTGCTTCCCCAGCGGAGCTGCGGCAGCTCAGTGAGTGACTGTGATAAAGTTTTACTTCGTCTTGGTCAGGCGCTCTCCTTTAGCGCGGACACGCTGATCTAGCAAATGGATAAAAGGACCTGGAAAAAAAAAGCAACGGAAGCTGGGGCAGGGGGAGAAAGAACCGTTCAACACCTAAATCTGGCTGAGAGCGATCAAATAGCACGGGCTCAGAATAAAGCAAAAGTTGTTGCATACCCCTTAGCCTTTGTTAAACAGCTTACTGTTCATATTAGACACGTATATGTTACCTTTCATCCATAGAGACCTGGAATAGCTTATCAGCAAGAGAGAAATCAGGTCAGCCCCTCCTGGACCGCACCCTGAGGGTGGGACGGTTTGCTGAGCAAACTCTAAGGGGCTTCAGTACCATTTTGCACGACACAAGGTTTGCCTGCCTACGGCAGGGCTCGTGCACGGACCCGGGCAGACAGCAGGGCTGGAGCGGCTCTGTGGAGGAGGAAGGCAGAGCAGATGCGAGTTAATCTGCCCTGGAAAAGGGGCTGGCAGCCGAGCCGGGCGCCAAGAGCCCCCCTCCTCCCTCAGGAGTGCAAACACAGTTTATTCTCCTATACAAAATTCACAGTGAGCTGTGACTGCTGCGTGCTCATCTCACGGCTGCTAAATATTTATGAGCCGATTACAAAAAACAAATTTATCACTTTAGCCCTCAGCCAAGTTTGGAAGGATTCAAATATTTATTCCGACTAGGAGCTTTACCCCCTCACACGCTTCCTCTCCCCCACCTTGCTTCCCACTCAAGCAGAGGATCGAGCATTTTCGGTCCTCACCCCTCTCTCTGGGCAATACATTGCTGTTTGCATTAGTAATTTCTCTGGCTTGCTTGCAAAGAGTTTCTGTCCGACAGCAGCTGCAGGGAGGACACCACGTGTGCACTCACACTCCCACGAAGGAGCCGGTGGGTCAGGAGGCAGACGGGACGCACGCTGAACGCCCTTTGCAGTATGGAGCACAAAGCAGCACTGTCGGCATCTGTTATTTGGGCCAGGCCCTCGGAGCAGGGGAGCTGCAACTGGGAACGGGGATCAGCTTTGCCAAGTGAATCATTTCTTCCCCATCCCACCCTTTTGGCAAAGCCGGCACCACCTTCCACTTCCAACAAAGGGCATTGGCAGCGCTCGGCTGGGGAAGGGACTTGACCCTTCGCTTCCAAACAGCAGGTTTTCCTGCTGTCCCCAGTCAGCGAGGCTAGCTGAGCACAGTCACCCATGGCCCAGAACGATGCTAGCTCAGCCTCTGCCACGGATCCCATCTGTCCACGGACATAAACAGGTCCCTCCCCAAGTCCCCGGCGCCTCGAACAGACACACCTACTGCTGGCAAGGCCAGTGGGCAAAATCCTCAGCTTGTTTGCTACAGCTGCATGTTGCATAGAGCTGCACACGGATCACTTTCCTCCTCAGTTGCCTGCATAAAGACTATTAAAATTAACAGAATAATGCATATAAATCTGCCATTTTTTCCCCTCAACACAGAGGAAGAGCCAAATCATTGCTAACAGGGGTGGCTCAACAAGGTTTTACGTTAGCCTGGTAAATTCAGAGGCTGCAAGTTGCATTAATTCAGCGCAGCTGCATTATCCCATTCAGGGAACTAATTAAACCTCCAACAACAGCACTACATTTATGTTTAAGTCTCATTGTTGCCATTATGACCAGCCAGATCAGTCCCTTTCTGCACATACAAATCACTGAAAAAAAAAAAACCAAAACCCAAAAATCCCCCACAGGTGCATCTTTACCATTTCTTATCAATCATAGGAGTCTGCTTTCAGATATTTTATAGCAAGACCTGGCCTGACTATATAAACTATCACAGCAGCTCCCTTTTATGTTGCTTCTATAGAAAATTGCTCTGCCCCATGAACCATGCCCCTCCTGCCAACAGCAAAGAGCACAGCCGTTGCACCAGGAGTCAGAGTGAGACCCCAAATGCCTCTATACAGCCTTTGGAAATTAAAGAGCAAATCAAGCTGAAGGCAGTGAATCACCAGCTGCTGGCTTGTCCCCCTTCTTGTGAGAATATTTAACCTTACATAGTGTTTTTCAGTGGGAACAAAAACATTCTGCAAAAAGAGGCTATCACCATCTCACAGATGGGGAAACTGAGGCAGAGAAGAGAAACCTTTGTCCAGAATCATTCAAGCCAGCCTGTGACAGCCATGAGACCCCACAGCAAATCGGTGCTCCCGCCACAGGATGCTCCTACCAGGTTAAAGCAATTCCACAAAATGTTTAAATTACACCAGAAACCAGGAAGACAAATAAAATCATCAGGTTTTGATAGTACAGATGTGTTTAAGTTAGACCTGCCCCGTTGTAGACAGGTGTGAATTTTTCACATTCTTTCTTTGATTTCCTCACCTAAACATAACAGGAAGGAAAAGCAGATTTTCCTCCTGTGGCTTGTTAGGCTGACGCTGGGTGGAAGCGATGCTTTTTGTTTACAAGCAGGGAAGCAGACCTGCGGGTTCATTTCTCTGCACAGAGGAAGCACAGGCACACTAACGCTTGACCTCTGCTACTAGTAAAGTCGTGCACCACTGTAAAGCCAAAGGCTCCTTCCCTTTCAACGTTTGCTGTAAACAGTTGGGTTAGGCATGAAAAGTGCAGTGAAAGTTATCTGGTCCTCTCAAATAAGCCTTCTGCTGCAGGATCTTTCGCTCACAGTCATAGTACAACTGACCCAGGTAATTAACAGCAAAGCCTCTACAACCAAAACAGCTACAGAGAAAAACAGATATGTTTGACAACCCTGAAACACTGCAGGGAGTGAGAATATGAACTGAAAGATGGGCTCGAACTGAGGAGGGATTCCGACTTTGCTTTTAGCATCTTTGAATACCTCCCTCTTCCACAAAAGGTGATTTTTATCTCCGAGTCAGGATTGGAGAGGCAGCTGAGCATCAGTCAGTGCACAGAGGACAGGTGAGCAGGGGCACAACCGTCCCATGAGTTTACACGCCCGGCACGCAGAGCTCCACACCCCCAGCACCACACCAGGGGTTTTATTTCCTTTCAGTGTACAAAGAGTGGTTCATCTGAGCTTATCTCTTCCGCAGCGCTGCTGCTCTACCAGCAGAGAATCATCTCCAAAGAATGTTTCAGTAATGCTGCGGTGCTGAATTTCAGAGGGACACTTAATCTCGCCTGAGTGGTTCACTAGGGCCAACTTTCTGAGCATGAAATATTTAACTATCCATGGGCCTCCTGTACTATAATAAAGTGACTTCTAACAAGACTCTGAAATAAATACGCAGAGAGGAAAGCGGGAGCTATTAAATACAGAAAACACAGCCTAATTACTCTCTTCCTTCCATCCCCATGAACCCAGGACACAGCTTACCCCCCCAGCAGCAGGGACCCAGAAACAAAACATCTCCTCCGGATGCTGGGAGAGTCCACAGGGGAAGAATTGCAAAGAGGACATCAACACAAAGATTTGTGAGGAGCACTGTTATCAACTATCCCTCACTTTGGGGGTGTAAAAACTTATCTGGCTTGCCTAAAAAAAATCAAGTCCTGTATGTGAGTAACTTAAAAAACTTTGAAAAGCCCCTCACTTCTTGCAATTCTGCTTCTCCCCCACTCCTGTTAAGCCTGTCTTTTGGCATTTAACACCTTAAAGACTGACATGTGAGCATTTGCCTGTTAATGTGATGTGAGAGTTAGTAGAAGTAGTGAAAACCACCCAGGACCCCCTCCAAAGGCCAGTGCAGTAGAGAGGAGCTCATGCTGTACAGATTCATTCCTGGCACAGAAGCTAAGCAAGGTCAGCCTTACCTCATCCCACTCTGAAGCAAAGGACGGGGACTTCTCCAGCCTCTTCTTCCCAGTGCTGCAGTTCGAGAGCGATTCGCTCCGGCTCCCCATGGCATCGTCCTCTGTCGGAGAGCAGGTCAGAAGATCAGAGTCCGATTTGGACAAGCTGCGGCTGAGTTTAAGCTCGGCTTTGGGCTTGCTCCCCGGGTGGGCTCTGCCCACAGCTCTGTCCCCCTCTTCCTCAGCACCACCGGGGTGCTGTAGCACGTGGGGCGTGACTACAGTTTCAGGATCCGCCCGGTTGACGTGCGTGTGCTGGATGGTTGCGTAGACCACTTTCTGGTTTTGGTCTGGAGAGCTGGTCCGTACTGATCCAGAGGCAGGTAAGTCAGCATCCTCCAGCTGCATAGCAGGTGGGTGACTTGTAGCTTCCGTGCCTCCTTTCTCCGCGGAGGAAACGAGCCTGAAAGGGTCCTCACTTATCTCACAGATCGGGGAAGAACCGTGAAGCAACCCTGAAAACTGCTCTGGAACCTGGATGTCCTGGCCGTCGGCAGAATCCTGGCTGCGGTTGCCACTGCTCCTCCTGTGGTCTTCAAGGGGATGAAAATGGGGGAGGGGGAATTAAAAACATGGAAGAAGCAGCAAAATTCCAGCTCTCCCCCTGCCCTCCCTCAGCAAGGGAGGGAGAGATAAAGAGAGAACAGTTCAGTATTGTTCCGCATGCTCAACTTGTACCCAAAGTCATGGCATTTATGAAATTCCAAACACTGGCCTGATTTATGCAATCTGGCAGCTCTCCTTGTTGTTTTATTCCTGTTAACACTAACTATCAGGCCTTGCTATATAAGGCTAAGAGAAGTGCTAACTATATCCTGCAGAGAGAGCAAGTGAGGTAGGAGAAGCAGAGACGGAGGCTCCTGGAACATCTGATACATTTCCATAAAGGCCAAAGTGTTATTTAGAGCAGCGCTCCCTGCTCTTGGCACGAGCTGCAGGGTGGGAAAACTTCTGGACTGTAATCAACCTGCGAATTCCAAAATCCGCTCCCCAAAAAAACCACTGCTTTCCTCCCTAGTGGTTTCCGAGTTTAACCTCTGCTCCTTACTCAGGGGAGAGAAATAAACAGTTTATGCAATAAAAAACTTGATCAAAAAGTCTCTCTTGCAAGCAAACCACTGAACGCAGAATGCTCTGATCTACTAACGCAGCGAGCTGCGTGGAGTACCGTCTGTCCCAGAAATATGACACTGCTACTCAGCTACTCCTGCACCAACACCTTTAATATCAGGTACCAGGGTCCTGCATAAATCATGAAAAATTGATTGATCCCAATTGCCAAGCGTGTGCACAGACATACGTGTACTCACCTTGGTCACATTACACGCATTTGAACTGCAAAAGCGAACCTTTGTAAAGCTAAGTATAACTTCTGTTTACCAAGGATTCCTCTACCTGCCCATAATCGCTTGCAAATTTTAACCACTTCCATTTAGTGCTGAAGAAACACTCCTCGGTCTGAGGACCAAAAAACCACACTGCAAAGGAGCATTAAGGCAAAGCACCCCGATAACGTGGCTCTGAAATGCAAGGCGGATGTTCAGACGTGAAGAGGAAATCGCTTGCTTTGCAAGACAGCAGCTCTCGGAAGCCAAGGCAAAGGAATCCTCATTTCAGCGAGGGCAAAATACACTAATGAATTCTACTTATCTTTAACTAAAAGCAGCCTATTAGCAACAACAGCGAGATCAACTCCTTCCCCCCAAGCATCCTTTCCAGCACTAGCCTTGACCAGGTCATTTTCAAACACTAACACCCATCTGGTTTGGTGGTCTGTCCTCACACCAGAAATGAGGCAGGAAAGGACTGAATTAGTCATTTGTCTTTGCAAGCCGCTCTAGGTCCTGGGGTCTCATGCACTCTGTGTTTGATAAGCGTAAGCTACTCCTTCTTGCAGGCATTTGTTTACTCCACAGAAATGCTATAAGCAGCTTGTTCAGTTGGCAGCTGAGTCAGGAACAGCAAAAGCCCGAACGGAGGTTAACTGCCAGGGCAGCGTGCCGGCAGACCTCGCTTCTCGCCGGGATCAAGTGATGCGAGGGCTTATTTCATTCTGGATCCTATGAGTTAAAGATTCCAGGACAATGAAGTAGTTGTTGATTACCTTGCACGGGCACATAAACCACAAGTTCTGCAACCGAAGTTGCCAAGGGGGAGGCACAGCCCCTGCGGGCAGGTGGCGTCACCAGCATCGCTCCTAATGCTGGCTGGGGAGTGCCAACAGCAGCACCCGATCAGAAGATCTCAAGACCAGACTATGTTCAGTTACTTCGCATAAAGTTATGAAGCTGTAACGCTGGAGAGAAGCCTTAGAAGAGATCAGACGTGCTGCATTCATAGGACAGACTGGTATTCATAAGAAAAAGCTACCGACCTCGTAAGAGGAACACAGCATTGACGGGACAGTCACATTAACCTGATGGGGAGGGAACAACTTTTGCAAATTAACAGCCTTTCTTCTCAACCTCTTTCCTTCCTTGGAAATCATTTCTTCCATTCCCCAGCTTAACCTTTACTGACATTTCTGCTGAAGGCAGAGAGGCGGCTCGTGAAAATTTATGCCACAAGCTGGAACACTTGGGTCCAGCCAGAACAAAGTGCTCCAAATCCAGCTCCAGAGACTCACAAAAGGGCTCCTGTTGAACAGAAATCACAGCCGCCCATTCATCCTCAAGCCAATGAAGGACTTTGAAATACAAGGCAGCTGCCAGCGAGGGAAGGGATGAAGCAAGGGCAACAGCACTTGCTCAGAAGATGCGAGGAACATCTTGAAGGAGACATTTCAAGAGCGTTTCAGAGCCTGCCCTGAAAGCTGCGGACAGAAGAACTAATGTGGGAAGGAAAGAATCATCTCGCTCCTTTTAATCATTGAGGTGCACATGGCAGGAACACTGAGGGTTCCCCAGGCCTTACCTTTCGGGGTTTCAACTAAAGGTGCCTCAGGACAGCTAGCAGAGAGGCCAGAACAACCACTGGCCATCTCGGGAAGGTGTATCTTTTTGGGATAGGTTACTGACGTGATTCAGCTGATGTGCTGATCACTTTTCTCATGGCAGAGATGAACAGTACTCATTTTTCAAGTGCGCAGTGCATTTGGAGAAGGGAAAAATAGTATTTAGGTGCTAGAAAAGCAGAGAGACCCCAGTTCCACCTATCTGCTGCACTCCAAGGGATTTGAAAGCATCTTCCTCCAGTTACACCTTTTCACTTGAAGGGAGTCGTCCTTAACATAGGGACTTCTGTCCAGCTCCCTTAGCTGATTTTACACCCAAGCACAGACATCTGACTGGTCCTGACTTCTTCAGCCAACGCCTGCTGCAGGTTTCACCAACAGGAGAGGTTGCTTCCAAGACCTAATGGGAACAGGAGCATCTTTCTGGGTACAGACTGCTTCCCAGGGAGCACTCAGTTAAGACCTCCCCTGCCAGCAGACTGATGATTCCAGATACTGAGCACTTCCCTAAATTCGTAACACTAAGCTGCAACTGCCCTGCTCGATCAAGTTTCTTTTTTTTTTTTGCCCTGCTCGATCAAGTGTCTTGCCCTATATATCACCAGCAGGATTTGTTTCATGCCCCTGGATTAAGAGAATGAAGCTGTTATTGCAGCTGCTTTCTGCTCAAGCTCCCCAACCTTAAAACTAGCAAGGGCATATGCTAGCCTCTAACTTTCATATAGAAAAGGATCCCTGTGCTACATCATGCCAGAATTTGTCAAGTGAGGAGCATGCTAATCTATCTCCTGTGGCATAAAAGGCCAGAGAAGACAGGGAAGCTGGTGCTACTTTACAGGTGCAAAAATAACCTTCAACTGCAGTAAAACTGAAACAAAGGCTCATTTACACAGTGAGGCACTGCATGTGAAATCCAGAAATGTACAATACGCTCCTGTATTAGTCTCAAGCTCAGTCATTTTGGGCAGAGTTTATCCCCCAAAAGCTACCTGAACTTGAGCTCATTTGGACTCCCTCCCCTATTCCCCTTTCAAGAAAGGGCAACAAAACACTGCCCTAGTTGCTTAGAGAGATCGCTAATGTGACTGCACAGAAGCTTCTAAATACATCATGACAGCAGAAATGCAGGCTTGGATCTGAGATATGGGAAAAGGGTCTGTCCTCCAGCCATGATAAAAGCAAGGGAGGTTTGCCTACCTGTGGTAGGCTGTGGTTCTACACTACCGTTAATCTCACAGCAAACCAAGAGGTATCTGTCCCTGCCAACCTTTGTTTGCAATATCCATGTGTCCCCATCGATTCCCTATAGTGATACCCATCCCACTGCTTCTGCAGCCATACTCTGGCTCTGTGAAAAGATATTTTCTTTAAATCTCTCAGCATTGTGTTCTGTCTTTTATCATTGGGTCAGAGCACAGCCATACATCTGGTTGAGCCAGCACAACCATAAAGAAAAACTCTAGCAGGAAGAAGGAAAAAGTAGGGACTTCAAGCTGGGCTTCCTCTGGAAGCAGCACAGCAGAACCTCAACAAATCAGTTTTTAATAACCATTAGAAGGAACTAAGTTGGTCCTACCTGCAGCTGGTTACTGCTGACAGCACTTGTGGATGACTCTGCCGAGAAGCAAGACAGACATCAAAACTCAGAAGAATTTTCCACATTCATCCTCCATCGGGTCTCTCTGAACACAGCAGGAGTTGCCCAGTCTCCTCCTGGTCAGTTCGCCACTCTTGGCCTATTTACAAGTCCTGTTCCAAGGTCTGAACGCCCTGACTTCATGCATGTGATTGCCCGGAGTTTCCTTACCAAAGGGGACGGGAGAGCATTTGGCTCAAACCACTTCTGATACTCTGCCCAAAACATTAAGCCAACTTTTCCTAGTGCTCCAGCATGTGACAGCAAACTGCTGTAACATACACAAAAGGCAACCCAAAGCCAGGCGGATAATACCACATTCATCTAGTCACTGGATGCAAGACAACTTGCAGCAAGAGGAACAAAGGCAGCTATCAGATATGAAAGGCACCATTAAAAACAGCGTGCCTGAAATTCAGCCTTTCAGCTGTCCTGAAAAGCCCTTCTCAATAGCCCGCAAGAATCAGAGTCCTTCTCTTCTGACCAAAGGCGCCTCCAGAACTCATCAAGTAACATCTAGAAGCCCAGCCTCTTAGATCGAGGGCCAAGAAGCAATTCAAAGCCATGCTTCAGCCTGCCCCTTGTCTTGGGATTGAGCTGCTGCCTTTGATGCTCCAGGACCCTTCTGATCCAGAGGTGGGAAAATTCTCCAACACCCCAATTAAGGCTTCAGTCCCTCACTCAGCCCTTGTTTAACTTTTTGCCAAAACAACTCTGCTACTCCCTAAATGCAGCTTCCCCCCTCCCATCAGCATGTACCTCGCATTTCATGCTCAGCTACGCCTGCTTCCCCGTGCCCTTGTGGCATCTAACCCCAACTACCACGAAAGCCAGAAACATTTCCTTTTCTTCTCAGTGTAATAAAGCAGATTTCAAAGCTGATCCACCCTTCCAGAGCAGTTATGAAACTCGTGTGCAGAAAGAAGCAACCTGTAATGCTGTGAGAGAAAGCAAGAATGTACAACACAAAATAGTCAGTGCTAAAGACAAAAGAGAAAAATAGTCAGTGTCTCATTTCCTACTGGGGTTGAGAAGCCCGAAGTCCTCAAGAGGACAAGCAGCAGGTGAAGGATGACATGGGGCCCTGTCAAAGCTCAGCTGCTCCTGCAGTAGAGGGAGAGCTGCCAGCTGGGGACACTGCCACGCATGCAGTCGTGCCACAGGGAGCACTCTGAGATGTTTTGGAAAACAGCTGGTAACCCTCTGGAGAAGGGGGACAAACAACCGTGTCCCTTTCTCCGGGTCCACCACAAAGAGCAATGGGAGATGGCCCTGGCAAGCCTAAGAAATGCAAGAGATGAGAAATACATTGGCTGGGCCCCTTCCCCCTAGGAGCAGCTCTTCGCCTCCACCAGATCGAAGGCTCCACCGCATCAGTCATAGTGCTAATTGCATTTAAGAGAGTGAACAAGTCCTGGAAGATGAGAAAACCCAACTGCATCCCTGGATTTCTCCCACATCAGTGGAAAGGGCTCTAGGTTTGTTACAAACACACTAACACTTTCCATAGACTGCAAACCCTGAAGTCACAGCTATTATCTTTCTCCTGTATGTTAGGAGGACATGTATGTAGACAGGACTCTGCTCTGGATAAAGATACTTCCCACAACCTCTCCATGAAATGGCGCTTAGCGGGCCTGCAGTACCGACGTCTTTGGGTGTTCAGGGGAAGAGACTTGCATCAAGAACAAGCAGATGCATTACTCTGAGATTTTATTTTAATCTGACACACAATTACGACACACCTTCACTCCTATTAATCAAGCCTAGACATGGTAGCCAGAGAAAGGAGCAAAGCCATCAGGAATAGCTTGCACTTGAATAACCAGCAATAGCTGCACACTGAAAAGATAGCCTGAAAGCTGCTGGTTCAATGACTGTCACCCAAGGACTATTCCTGGCTGAGACCGCAAAGCACCAACCTGAAAAGCATCCTAACTTTGCCTCCGGCAGCAAGTGGCTTTGGCAAATGCTGGTGGGAAAACAACGACCTCTTGTGCCACCCTATACAAGCTAGGAGTGCGGCAGGACTCGAGGAATGAAAGCTATCATGCTGCAAGAAGGAAAAAAAAAAAAGCTGCAGGTCTTACAGGGCAGTCAATGAGGCATCACATCAAGTTCTCATTATCCTCTGTTCATCCTCAAAGTGAGATGGTTTCCAGGTTTAGAGTCCAAACTCAATCCTTCCAAATTCCTGCTCAGGACTTTTGAATAAAGCAAGAGATGTTTTTCCTCTAAACAGATCTTCTGTTGTTGTTGTTGAAGGAAAGCCAAAATGCCCAGCAATAGCCAAACACAAGAGACAAGGTGTTCCCAGATCCTTTGTAAAGCACAAAAGTCCCTCTGGGACAAGAGAGGCTAATTTGATACTTAACATGGCTATATAGTGGATTTCAAGTCAGTTCTAGAAAGGGGCTTGCTCTACACATGTTTGTTTTCCTCCTTTGTTAGTTTACATCTCAAATTAGCTTTAATACACAGCGGGATGTTGATTTTAAGACCAGGATAGCAGGGCCAATCATCTGCCGATACAAACATGCAACGCCAGCAGGTCTTCAAATTCAGCTGGATGGAGAATATGGCTCATTTAAATGCTTGCATCAGTTCATCTCACTTGTAACAACACGGCACAGCCTTCCACCCTTCTGCATTTACTTGGCTGTGCACAAGATCTGCTTATTTTCTAAGTTAACAGAGTAGGTCCTCGCAATCGCTTAGTTGTCAAAATAGCAGAGTTGCCCTTCCTCCGTGTACATTTTGTACAGGAATGCTTAGATCTCTCCTTTATAAAAGTGAAGATTACCAGGAAACAAAACAATTGCAATCCAGACCCCAGCCGTCCCACCCAACAAAGAGTTTAATTGTTCCAGTTACTCTCTGCCCTCTATATTTGCCTTAAATGCATCTAAGCAAACAGCTCTGCTTTTTGGATGGTCACTTACCTTTTGTTTTCCTATCCACCACAACTGGCTTTTTAGTTTCTGCTGTAAGCAACAGCTCGTAAGGGTGTTCCTCTTCCTCAGCTCCACTTCCCCTGCTCTTTCCTCGTGCAACAGAGGCCTAATGAAAAACAGCATAATGTAGTGCTCCACAAAGCAATGCTATTTATCCCAGTAATAAAGCACAAGGCCTCTTTATGCCATGGTTTAAGCAAGGAATTGGCAGAGGCAACACCTTCGCTGTGGAGAGTGATCCAAAATGTAATACTCCCTCCCTCCCCGCCCCCTCCCTCAAAAAAGCCACCCAAACCCCCTTTATTTTCTAGTATTTAAGGTTGCTGACAGCTTTCTAGCACTAACCAACTGATTCACTGTGCAAGGTCTGCAGACAGCCTGGAGGGGGGAAAAGAGCTGAGGCAGTTATTCCTGTTCATCCCAACTCAGACTTACTGTTGCTATTGGAATTTGCATCGTCATTCACTATTTAGTTGCTGGCCCTATTAGGACATGGCTGGAAAAAAAAAAAGCCCAAATCGTTGCCACCTTCTCAGAAGTCTCAGATCTAGCATTTCTAACCTCAGGATGCACAGCGTATTTAGGACTAAAGAGCCCTCAGGCAATACTGTGTAAACTCAGTTTAACCTCAGGATGTGCACCAGCGATTGTGCTTGTTTAAATCCCTGAAAGCCTCTGATGAGAGCTTGTTTGTAATATTGGCAGACCCTCCAGCAAGCTGCTCTGGAGAACTACCATCCATGTGCAGGGATGCGGTCTTGATGCTGGATCCAAATGCGTCTTGCTGCAGACTCGCACATGTTGGTCCACCTCAACGCCAAGGATGACAGGCATTCGACACCCTTAGAGAGCCACGTGGGCCATCCCAGTGCTAATGGGGCTAAATGGGGCTTCAAGGCACCCTGCCTGCATGGTCAGCTGCCTTTCAGCACCATCTCCTGGCCAGACCCCGGCAGGTTGAGGCAATCCTGTCCCAGGAGCCATGCGTGCCTACAGCCAACCGCGGTGGGGTCAAACCCAAGCCAGAAAGCAAGTGATCCCTACCTGCTGCCAAGACAGGGAAGAACAGATCTGAACAAAACATTCCCCCATGGAGGGCTCTCGTACTGCTCACAGACTCCTGGAATTGCCACTGTCTAGACAGCAGACTAAGCACCACCTCCAGTTTCTTCCCCAAAGTGAAAGCATCAGAGTTGGTTCAAGAGCAAATAGGTACTGACCCGACTGCAATCTAGCCAGGATCTCTGGAAGCTTAGGGAGTCTTGGAAAGACACCCAGGAGTCAGCAGCACAGACAGGACTCCTGCATCCGTGTACTGTTTCTGCATAAGCCCAGCTGGCTTTTAAATCGGCTTTCTCAATGGGAGGAAACAGGCCATGTCCAGCAGAGAAAGTATTTATTCTACCTGCTTCAAGCATGAGCTGTCAGGCAGACCTGCTCCTTTTCAGGTGAAGGAGCTCATAATGAGCAAATTAAGGAAAAAAACTTCTGACCAGATGGTGGCACAAAAACATCAGACCGTAACAGTAGGTAACAGGCTCTCGCCAGAGATCTTGGAAAAATACTGCACAGCAGCAGCCTGTCGTAACAGTTGTAGCCTGGACCTCAAGCCAGGCATTAGTATACCCCTAAGACTCCTGCAGATGATGATTATCGTGCTGTCCTCTTTCGAATGCACTGAACGCATTCGAAGGCAGTAGCTCCCTCGCAGCACACAATTCCCAGCTTTTGCTTTGTAAACTTGTGTGCGCGCACTTCTAGGCCTGGTCACACTATTTTCTCCATCTCTCATCCTTCCAAGCTTTAAATAGAGTTTCAGGTTCAAATTCACACAAAATGAAGACCATTGTTTGCTGGAGAACCGTGCTTGCTCTGTAGGCTCTGCAACCAGGAGTAACAAGATCAAATAAAACTTTCTTCCAATTAATCTTTCATTTATTATACATGTTGGTTAGCATGTATAAATATTCACTATTAGCAAAGCCCCAAAATAAGATGTTGTTAATAATGAGTATGCTTTTTAAAGTGTACTTAATCCACAGCGGTGGACTTTGAAAGACTTTTTAAAGGGTAACTCATCTCGTTTCTCTCTCCTCCCCCACCAGAACTGCAGACCAAATTGCTGGAACAATCATAGCGCCTTGTCTTTTGTCTGCACTTCCCTTTCGGAGATGAGTAGTAAACAAATGGAATTGAAGTTTAATTTGACAGCGCAGACTCTTATTCAGCTACAAACCCAGAAGGTTTCTGCAGATAGTGAAAGAGGGCACTCGAGCACCTCCAAACAATCAGCTCTTTCGCCTGTTTGTACTAATGTTTTTTCCATGATGGAAGTTAAAAGTTTCTTGTTTATGCACATCTGCTTTGACTGATAGCCCCATCTTGGCAATGGAATAAAAAGACTACTTCTGAAACCAGAGTTTGGCCCAACCCCAGAATATTCAATGACTAACTGTCCTGGCTCTAATGTGAGAGCAGGTCTGGAGGATGGCAGATCGGGATGCTGCTCCGAGATGTTTACAGCGTTCCCTAAGCGTATTCCTGTTCACGCCTGCCCAACCCAGAGAGAACATGTACTGAGATGATAAATAATGGGCAAGAGTCAGAAAAGCAGAGTACCGCAGAAGTAGCAAGCAAAGAAAAAGAATCAGACCCCAAACTGCCTTATCAGTACAGCTAGAAGGTCATTTCCAGGCAGCAACACACACTGCCTGTAAGTCACATCAATGAAATTGATTGCAAATCGAGATCTCCCCAGCGAGTCACTTTGCGTACAAGTCTATTTGCCAGCAAGATTTCCTTTAATGGATCATGTTTCTAAAGCTGTTAATGGCAGGACAACACAGCAGGTGTTTTATAATTAAACATGGCAAGATAAGTCAGCAGGAGCAGTCAATGCACTTTTCCCTCCCTCGTGTTTATCGTCATAAACAAGTTCTGCTTTCCAATTATGCCGTGACCTGGTACCCAGCTCTCCTCTGCCCAGAGCCGGCCATGGGACTGGTTATCACACACTGCAAAACCATTTTAACAGCAGTGGAGAGCACAGTCCACAATTTCACATTTCAATTTTACTGTTTATGCGCCGTTTGGAGCTTTACGCTCTCTATAAAAAGTCAGTCCTATTAAAGCAAATAATGTTTACTCATGTCTCGTGTAGATTTGACAGACTTCAGAAAACAGATCACATGTGTGCCTTGGAGGATCTTTAGCAGATCAACACATTCAAAGCAAGTGGTGAACAGGAGTCTGTCCCGACAGCTAGAGGCAGCACACACTCCACTTGTTTTACATACAACCTACTGCATTTGGAAAAGCAAGGAAATCCACAAGATCTGTTTTTGCTTTGAAGATTTTCCTGGGTGTCAGCAGAAGTTGCCAAGACACATTTGTGGTTTCACACACCCCCATACACAGGTCTCCCGGAGAGCCCTCACATCTGAGGTTCACAGGCAGGTGAACAAAAATGAGCAATAGGAAGCCCAGGAGCAACAACGCACAATAGGAGAGCTTTAGTTTCATCAGAAAGCGGCTCACACGCATTGACCTCTGCAGAAGACAGCTTTAACATATGCTGGGCCAGATTCTCGGCTGAATTCAAGCCCCTGATCCCTGTTCACGTCAGTGGGACCCACAAGCCCACGCATCTCCTCCACAGCTGGAAGCTAAGAGGAAGCAGGAAGCAACGGCCCTCTGGGTTTCAGTCTCAAGTGAAGATGCATTTGGTGGGATCATTACACGTGGGCAACAGTCCACATTGCAACGTGATTCAGAAAAATCTCATCCTAAGGGAATTCCCAGCCAAGAATAGGAAAGTAAGGCTGAAGGTCAATACAGAGGTGCCCTGGAAGAACCACACAAAGGAAGTTCCCATGGCAAGCGATAGCAGCGACACTGGAGTGAAAGAAAACTTCACATTCACAACCCAACTTGCAAGGGAGGTAATAATATCATTGGCTCCTCCCAAATTATTAAAACTGTTCTTTAAACCACATTCATATAAAACATCCCAGATCAAGTCCCACGTACCTCACAGGAAGCACCATGGCCTATCTTCTTCTCCACGTGCTGATCCTCCTCTTCATCAGGCGGAGGCTTGGCAGGCGGGGGTGGACGTTCTCTCTGCGGTTTAGAAGACCACTGTCAACTGCGTTGTGTTAAAGCACTTCCCCTTCCACCAACACTACATCCATGCTGCTGTGAATGCAGCACGGTAAGGACCTCCTCAAGTTAATCTAGGTGGAGTAGAAGTTCAGTCCTAACAGCACAGAGCTTGGCAATGGTTGGTGCCTCTCCTCCTCTCCAGCAGGATACCTATTCAGGCAGAGAGCCCTTTCTGCAGATTCACCGTACTGCAAGTACTGCAAGTCCTGTGGATGGACTGATGTTGATAACACAGACCACCCACTTCTGCTCCGCAGCAGTGACACTGCGCAAGGCCAGCTCAGACCCACATGAGCACCCAACTATGCTTTCAGGAGAGTAAAACCGCTCGGGTGGAAGGTGCCGTGTACACAGGTTTGTTGCTTCATTGCTTAAGCCAGTTCATTCAGACCCAGACTGGCAATCTCAATGGCACAGCATTTCACAGGGAAGGTCAGTAATGAATTCATGCAAATGGGTAGAAAGGGAAGACTCATCGCTTGTGTCTTAATGAAACAGTAACAAGAATAAGCGATTCCCGAGGCACCTTTTATAGTGGAAAACCCTAGAGATCAAGAAACAATGCTGCACTGCATTCCTCAAATATCCCAAGATTGCCTGTGGGCGGTTAGGGCTGCGCTGCCTTGTCTCGATGCAGAGCTAAAAACCCCTCTAGGTCATCTCCTGCCCTGCAGCAGCTCCATCTAACGGCAAAGGGAAAGACAGCAGAGGCGAACCGCTCACTCCAAAAAACTCAAGCAAGTTTTGGGAGAAACTCCAGCAAGCTCCTGGAGCACATCCCTCTTTACTCTCCCTTTTCACTGCAGTTCAGCCTCTCATCTTTTCTTATTTGTGGTAGAGCTGAGCTTATTTCACATCAGACATTATCAACACAGGGCAGTACATAGATGGATATAAGCCACCAATATTTAATTAGTAACAGGATAGTGCATCTTGTACTGCATAACAGAGAGATCTGGCTGAAATGCCAGTCCTGTAAAGCTTTTGTCTCATTTCTACTATTTTTGCTAATAGTACAGGGAAAAGGATGCACCCTCTTTGCAGAGAGAGAGGAAGCATGGTTACAGTACCACCAGCAGTTTAATTGTTCATCGCTGCTTTGCCTTTTGTCCAAAAATACACCCACGGAGCAGGCTTTGTAAAACCAACCAGAAAACAAACCCTGAAGCTGACGCAGCATGCTGCAAGGCCAGCATCCCATCTGCCCCATAGCAGCGCTGCCACCGATTGCTAAGGGGGCAGCAGATGCAACCAACAGAAGGTGAGGAAGACTTCTTTGGAGACAGTTCCTGGAGCTTTGCATTGCCTTGTAAAGCCTTGAGTACCCTCTACAGATTTCTGCAAGTAATACACAAAAAAATGTTTCCGCTGCCAACTAGTTTCCAACAGGATATTCTTAAAGATAATGTCCTGAGAGCCTTCTTTTGGGCAAAGCAGAGAGCAAGAGAGATGAGAAAAATGCTCCACACAAAAGTTTCCAAAGCTTTCTTCTAGACAAGAAGTTAGCCCTTCAGCTAAGTGCAATGTCCTGACAAACCAAAATTCATAGGCACCAGCATTCCACTGCCAGAAAACAGGAGGATGCAACACCAGGTGAAAGTCAGGCACGTAGAAGTGGCTACTCGTGGGCAACACAACGGAGGTTATGTGAACAGGCCAGTGAAAAAGGGGAGGTACCTGCCTGCTCTAATCAGTGTCAGGGATGGGTTTAAAGATTTCCTCAAGCTGAGGGATTGGCAGCCTGCTGCAAAATCATGAAAATAGAGGTAGGTTACCTATCTTTCTGAGGCAAGCAGAGACAAGCACACATAACTACATACAGGCCTGACTCCTGCTGCTTTGAGACCAGCCGATTCCACTTCCTTATTCACAGACTCTCGATCTGAAGATCTCCCACTGGCAAGGCTGTCCAGGGAGTGGCAGGATGTTGCATTGTATAAAGCTTCATACGGGCTCTCCTCTTCTGGGTTCACATCAAAATCTATGATCAGTTCTGTAACTGCTTTCTCCACATCACCTGTGAGAGGAAGAGAGAGACGAGAGCATCACTCGGGGCTTCTGCCCTCGGAAAGTCAGCACTTGCAGGAAGAAGAGTGCTAGTGACTGCCGTGTTGCATGGAAGCCTACCCTGAGATATCTGGCACACAGGATCAGCGGCTGGAACAAGCGGTGCTTGAACAGTCTTCTCTGCAGCTTTGGCACTTTTCTTCCCGATCGTGTAATCTGCAATGAGGTGGGGCGACAGGGTCACTTTATGTCAATCTAGTTTCACGTCCACTTCAGCATATGGTACTTCCTCCCTTGAGGATGGAAGGCCAACTGCCAGCTCAGTAAGTCTCCAAAAAATAACCAAAGTACACTATTAAAACTTGCAGCTCAGAGCCCAAAATAGAAGCAGGCAGCCTTTTTAATCACATGCACAAGTTTAAGGATGGGTCTTTGAACTTTTACAGAGTCTTTAATCAGAAAGCTGCAAAGCTCCTATATGGACACAATGCCATGGAGAAGATTGCTTCACGTTGTAGACACAAGCTACATCACTAAACAGAGATGCAGTCTGGTCTTCTGGAGTCGTAAGGCAGCAGAGAAACCAGTTCTAGCTGTGGTCCCCTAATCACAGGCAGAGCCAGAAACATTAAGCTTACATGAATAAAGTCAGACAGCAACATCTCATGCAGCTAGCTCACTTACAGGAGCAAACCAACAGCATTTACCTGCAAGAACTTTCGTTTCAAAGCTCATCTTTGTCTTCAATTTCAACATTGAGATAAAACCTACCAGCCTCACAGGCAAAGCTTAATTAAAGTCTGCAAAGCGCTTTGAACCTGTAAAGCTCTCAAATGCTAAGCATGAATAATGCACACCAGTTGCATATGCTTCTGATCTTTCTCCCCACAGCTGAGAGGAAATTGAGACAGCATAATTACAAGGTATGAATTCAGCTAAGATGCCACATTTCACTCCCTAACTCGGACAGACACAATGGGCCAAGCTCCTTTATAAACCACAAGTAATCAAGGCCCTTTCTGTAAATCTCATCTGCAAAATCCATGCCCAAGCTTCACAATGAAGTGAGGAGTAGGATGTAAGATCTGTGGACGACTATTTGCCTACACAGACACATAAAGGATAGTTAATCCAAAACCATTTCTAAAGCTATTACTTTGCATTCTGCAAGCAGATTTAGGCTATCCTTAATTTTAATTAACTTCTAAAGTGAGTTAAACAAAGCTCAATTAAGCCCATTTAAACTGTAAAAGTCATGCCACACTCCTTCAGCAAAGGAGCTAATCCCCCTAAATCCCCCCCTGGAAGTGCCCCTGCAAACACTTGCTCTGAAGACAGCTCAGAGCATTTAAGCATCACTCCTTCCAACACCTGTAAGATTCTCATCGAGGGACCTGGCCTGAGGCTGCGCTGCTCTCAGCACTTTCCAGGACTAGAGAACAAAATCCCGTACTTGCACTGGCACAATTATCATCCCAAACTCTTCCCTCCTGCCCACACACAGAGCTACACCGCTTACCTTCGATGAGAGCTGCTATGTGTTGGCTTTTCTGAGAAGGAAGTTCCCTCACAATATCCAGAGCTGTCAGGCCTCTGTTATCCTTTATGTTCACATCAATACCTATGGCAATAGGTGTAGAGAAGGCAAAAGCAAGAATATTTCAAACTGTATGCAAATTCATGCCTTAAATCAAGTTAGAGCTTACACTTGTGATCATCGGGGGTGGGGGGGCCCACTAAAAAATGCTCTAGAGAGGCAGATTTAAAGCCAAACACCAACAGATAACCTCTCCTATAACCCTCTCCGAGGAACACCACTTTGATAGCTGGTTGGAGAAACACTATAAAGGGGTTTCCTCAAGTTCTGGGTGAAGGGATCACCATGTTATTTCTTCAAAAGGGGAACATTCTCTCACCTGCGGCCAGCAATATTTGTACCACATCTGTCTTGCCAAACAAAGCAGCTTCGTGCAAAGCACTGCCTTTTTCAGTCTGCAAATTAAGTGGAAAATAGCATGAAGCTAGACAGCGGGGAATGGTGATGGAGACATGTTTTAGAAGGTTACAGAAGCAATAAATATACGGCATCATATACAAAGTGTGGGCAACAATATCTACAACCGAGGACAAACTACCAGTATAACTGCAATGGTGAGAATTTGGAATGGAAAATGGGATGGTCTCTTCAGAGAGACGTGCGGGCCCAGGTTAGAGACCAAGAAAGGACTTTCGACAGCTTAGCAAGAGGTCATGTCCTGAAGAAGAAAGACAAGACCACCACATACAAGCCGTTGCTGTGAAAACAGCATATTCACAAGTGGCTCGATAGGAAGAGAAACAGTTTGCCTCCGTTGCTATCAAGAGCTCATGGTTTTGCAGGGCAGAACAGCTTAGGTGAGAGGGCTTTTTTCCCCCTCCCTCACTATGTGTCTGAGGCTCTTTGTCCAACTAACGAGCAGGCATGAAGCATGCACAGCACCAGAATCCCTCTGAGCAGCTTCTCAGAGCAACCAAGAGCTGAACAAACAGCCCAGAGGAAAACAAAGCTATTGCTCATCTTTCATGAACAATCCCTCCAGGAGGAGGGTTAGGTGGAGCTCTCTGTATTGCAACTATATGGGTTCTCCACCCCCCAGCAATCAGACCAGCCCTTCACGCACAGACACACTAGATACCTGATAGTTGCTATCCATGCCAGCATCCAGGAGGACATGGACCACAGTTTTGTGACCGTTCCTAGCTGCCAAGTGCAGGGGAGTGTGTTTCTTAGTGTTGCAGCTTAAAAGATTGGGGTGAGCGTTCAAGAGCATCTTCACGACTTCCAGCCTCCCATAGAGCGCGGCCAGGTCCAGAGGAGTCTCAAACTTGTTATTGCGCATGGTGGGGTCGGTCAGCTCCTCCAGAAGGACCTTCACCACCTCTGTGTGGCCGTACTGCGCGGCGCAGTGCAGCGCCGTCTCGTTGTCGTTGTTCTGGGGGGGGGGTCACAAATGCCAGCGCGTCAGAACCGGGGAGAACAGAGCTGCTCCGTGCCTCGCTCAAACCATTGAAGTTTAAACACAAAAACAAGACAAAAAAGCAGTCGGGAAGCAGAGAGCCCAGTTTGAATCAGAGCCTGGAGCAATGTTTTCACTGTCTCACTAGCCATTTACCAGGCACAGCCAACCCCTCGTGAACTCATCAACCGACCCACCCAGTAAAAGCTTCAGAACAATAAGCTTTGCTCAGATATGGGAAATCTGCTCTACGGGAAATAGGTGCTATATATGGAATAGCCTGCTTTCAAGGCACTGAGGTCAAAATCAAGGGACCATGCTAAAGTTTAAGGGACTGTTGAGCTGTATCTGGATTCCCATTAATTCTGCTAGCACATGGGGAAAGCAGTCTGTTATTTGTTGGCAGCATCCCACACTTTGGGGTGCCACAAAAACATAAAAGGCTGCAATATATGATAGGCAAGCTGCAGCATGAATTCTATCTGCTGTAGCTTAATCGTCATCATTTTAGATTTAAACTTCAATTGTTTCAAATCCTACTTATCCTGATTATAACAGTCATTCCACCTTTGCAATTCTGAAGCTCGCAAGCTGGCTGGTTTGAGAAAGGGTGCATAAAGTTACATGCAGTTTGTGAATTAGAAAGCAGTGCAATTAGATCACTCTACTAACAAGCCCTTGTAGTCAAGGTCTCAGGTCAACTGAGGGAAGGGATGTCCAAGCGACAAGAGAACACCTCCACAGTGAACGCCAGATCCAATTAATGCATGCAGCATCTGTCAGGTTAAAAATCAGCAATGCAAAGCATTGAAAGACAAGCAACCTAAACACATTTCACTTGCAGGTGCAAAATAGGAACATTGTCAGATTTAAAAGAGCTTTTTCTCAAATTAAATTCACCTCAAGTTTCTAGTTTTACTACTGTGTGTTATCCACAGAGGGATTTCTGTTTAAGGACTTTAGAAACAAATACAATTCGACCCAAAAAACTTCAGTACAAATGGTTACACACTACAACTTCAGCTGAAAGAACGATGGTTGAATTTGTCATTTTAAGAACAGTTCCCATTAAAAAAAAAAAACAGAGAATGTACTTGTCTTGATGGAGTTAGAAGTACTACTTTAGAAACTGAATTTGATCAAAATACCTTCCTTTTTGCTTTGAGAGCACATGCACTTTTTTGGATACCAGCTTGTAGGAGCAGTCAATATTTTGCACCATTTCACAACCACACTGCAGAACTTGCTCTGTTGTACAAGTACTTTAATCCTATTAACGTGTTAAGTCATTCTAGGGATTACAGGAGTCATGCATGCAAACTCCCATTTGTTTTTATCTGGTACTTGCATCATTCTTCAGCCACATGAAAAGCATAAGGGAAGCGAGGTGTTCTGGAGAGGCTCTCTGCAGCCGCAACTTGTATAAAAGCAAAGACTAAGGAGGCAGGAAGCAGCAACAGCCACATGCAGAAGTGAGGTATTTAAGAAGGCAAGGAAAGCATGGCATCACTGTTAGCACAGAACTTCAAAAGTCAAACAACAGGCTCTATACTTGGAGTGGCAGAGGCAGCCATGGTGAAGGAAGGCACATACAAGTGGACAGAAATTACTGTAGAATAAAGAAGTCTGCACATAAAATACATATACGGAGTGAGAAGGGGAGAGAATAGAGAACTACAGAGATTACACCTATCAATCAGCTTAAGCTGCTGGTCTCGAGGCATTTAAAAGGTTGGTAAATCACTTTATTCTTATTTGACAGCACAGGGAACCCAGGTATTGGTGAGCCCATGATGCAGCCAGACCGAGGCCCTCAGCCTGCCCCATAGCACGAGGGAGGCTTGCTGCCAATTTTTGCAGAAAGAGTAGATAACCCCAGCCCCTCTGGAGCAGCAAATACCTGCCAAAGAGCCACGGGGGGTATGCACTGCTCATGCCACGCTAGCCCTGGCTACAGGGGATTTCCATGGCTAGGGCTGTCCCCCTCTCATCCCTCCCTGGCACAGAGACCGCATCCCCCAAGGGTTCTTTAAAGCGCACAGCAACTCCAAACACTGCCTGATGGCTCAGAAATGCGAACATAACATCCTTCAATAACATAATTGTTGAAGACTTCCCCCATCTTCACTGCAATTTAGTCTAGTTTTCCTTAAGCAGGTCAGGGCTCTGACGCTCAGGATGAAATCCCCAGACTTTCCTCCTGCAATAGAGATCACCCCTGGTGAACTCTCTGATTCAGTGATAAACTCCCCTGAATTACTACAGCAAGCCTTTCCCCATCTCAGACTGTGTACTGGAAACTCCCGCTACTGCATAAATCTTTATTGCCTCCATTTCAGGAGAGCTTTGAGCAGCCAAAAATGCTAGAGCCGTTCCAGGCAAGGGAGTTTGCCTCCCTTCCCCGCATCGCCTCTCCAAGCACAAACCAGAGCAGAGCCTGAACAATGAGCATGAGTGCTCAGACATACGTATTTATCAGAGATGGAAAAAGAAAATTCCTTTCCAGCAGCCAGAAGGCATATGGGTTCAAATTTCAAAACTTCTTAGAAAAATAGAGCACTCAACAGGGCCCAGGGGCTGCATTCTTGCAGGAATCCTTAGCACCCCCTCAATTCACAGTTGGGAGTGAGAAGCTGGGCTCATACGATGCCTGCCTACAGACCACAAACCGGCAACACAAGCAGAAGTGCCTCTGCTTTCACAGGGGCTCCATCAAATTTTTCAAGCCCTGGTAACTAGATACCACATACCATAGCCCTTATGCTCATCACACAATAAAATGGAGCATCTACAGCTCCTTAAAGTATATCTGTCTGCGCTCCTGTTCTTAACACACCATAAGAGGGCTTTGATTGAAGAAAAGGGGACTTGGTTTAAATAAGGGAAAGTTTTCTAACTTTCTAACCTGCAAAGGTTTGAACAGTCAAATAAACTGCCAAGGGAGACTATACAGCTGTCCCTCTCCCAGGTTTCCGAGAAGCTGCTAGACAAACACTGGTCAGGAATGGTTTAGGTAGACCCGATCCTGCCTCAGGGCTGGGGAAAGAGGCTATACGACTCTTCGGTCCCATCCAACCTACTTCTAAGATTCCTTTTTTGTAGGATTTCTGTCAGTGTGTGCATGTCTAACATAGGCTTGCCCTATTAAAAACCTGCTATTTTGCTGCGCCAGTGACACGACTGATCCTAAAGCACAGAACAGGGGTGCCCCGCTGGCATCCACTCCATAAAGTTTCAGTTAAAGGCAGGCCAAAATGAAAGAAAAAAAAAAACCTGTTAAGCAAAATCCAGACTTCACCAGGAGGTGACACCCAAGGCACATCACAACCTCGGGCACAAAGCAGGCCGGAAGAGTTGGCTGGAGCTGCCCGGTGAGTTGTACCATCTCCTTCCCTCCTTTTGCAGTACAAAATTTCCATCGGTGCCCCACACGGCACTGCCAGGAGCAGAGTAAGGATGAACAGGTCTCCTTCGTTCCTACAGGTGCCCAACAGCGCCAAACACATTTCAGAAAAAAAAAAAAAAAAGATGATCCCCATATGTCCAACAAGCTTTCGGAGCTCTGCGGGTGGGTTTGCTGCCCGGTTTCAGTTGCAGACTCCAGGTGGTAGGCTTCCACTTTTCTCAGCAGCCCATTTAGATTTATAGCATTTTAAACCCAATCTGCATGATTCATTTGCTTCCAATTGAAAAAAGACAAAGGTAGTTTGTGCAGCGCACAAACTTGAGCTACCTGACAGCTTTTTTTGTTTTGGCTCTCCTCAACTGGTTGGCTCCTTCATACAAATTAAATAACCAAATTAAAGATAGCAGGAGTTACTGAAGCAAAGTTGCTGCTCCATCTCTTAACTTTGCTTCTATCATTTGCTTTTCAGAAGTCCTTCAGGCCTGTAACAGACATATTGCAGGGACCGCCTACTGAACAAAAGATGTTGAAAAGGAAGGGGCATAAAAAGAAGCTGTTAACTATTTCTTTAACTTTTAGGGGAGCAAGAAGCTTCTGGCTTTCTTATCTCTTCCTCAACAGGATATTAAATTGTAGCCCAGCCTTACAGAAATGCTTTCCCTCTCTTCTAAATATCCCAAAATGTTTGGAAAGATGAAACATCTCACTTCAATTATTTCTGTATGACATCCCATCCTGCATGGGAGCTGAGAAGCTGGAAGCACCAACTAAGCAAGGACTCTTACACTTTGTACCTGGACTTTCTGTGGTTCTCCCACCTGCAGCGAGGCTACTGAGAAAACATCAAGGTTTGCATGACAGGTATGATGCCACATGCTCTTCACATCAAACCTGGTCAGAAACTGGTGGAAAGCTGGTCAGAACTTGTGGTGAACCTAACAGATTGTGTCTAAATCGTATCTCTCTCCTTAAGACCAAGGCAAAGATTTCAATAACACTAGCCTTGTTCGAGAGCTCTACAGCCATCTTGAAAACTGAACTGAGAGTTTAAAATAATGCACTTGTCAAAAATATAAAATCCAAATTAGAATACTTCATAAACAAAAATCCACAAGAAAGTGAGCTCGCTGTATGTTACATCTTTTATTCCTTCTTCGTTCAACATTTTAATGCTGGAGTAAGATTTTACTCTGTCATTGTCAATGTTTTAGAAAGCTCCTTTCAGGCAACTGAACTGCTTGACTATGATGTTTCCACAGAAGACACTCATTGTTGTAAAATTCCCATCTGGATTTTTGTAAAAATCACCGATACGGATGAGCTTCATGTAAATATATTTGTGCTTAAAGAGGTAGGCACTAGAGTGTTTCCTGAAACAGAAGTCTGCAAAAACAAATGTAATTCCCAGCAGTTAGCAAGCTCAGGAACTTTGAATGTGTGTTTTTAAGGTACTGCAGATCAAGCAGAGTGAAAGTTTTAACTAAACTTTGAGAGACAGAAATCTGCCATGGATGGCTGGATCCCAAATAATTGGCTGGAAGCAACTGTGGCGTGGTAGCTGAGAGCAGAAGTATCTCATGACAAATCAGCAGACTATTATGCCGTCACTGGCCTGCAGCTTCACTAGAAATAAAAATGAAAAACGGTGTCTGCGAAAACGCCACCAGGAACTTTATCTGCTTCCTCAATTGCTCAGCCTCAGTGCATCGTAAGTGCTGATGTCATGCCTTTTTGTAGCTCAAGAACAACTAAAAGCAAGAGAGAAGCAAAATAGGCAAGGAAACAGGAACAGAAGACTAGGGCTGAAGGGTCAGACGACACAACAGACTTGACATCAAAAAAAGAGAGACTGATGCAATAAGCAGGACATGAAGGACTTGGGAAGGGAGGCACGAACATTACTGCCTTCCCTTCTCCCCACCACCACCAAAAGAATTAACTGTCCATTCAAATGACAAATACAGCATTATGCATTTTGTAGGAGAAAAGGCATGAAAATTCACTCCAAACAGCCCACAGAGAAAATGCATCCATGTTTAAGCAGGAAAAAAAATTTCCTCCTCTTTGCATTTATCAGCAACATTAGCACATGAAACAAAACCTAAAGCATTTTAATTGAAATAACATTACCTTTTGGAAGTCATCCAGCCAAATCAAGCAAACTGACCATCACCGTGAGTCCTACAAGGCTAAGCAAAGAAGGAGCCCCCGGGAAAGTAAGGAAAAGCTTCCCTTAAATTATGTTTCTATAACTGCTTTGAAGAAAGAAACCCACAGTAAATAAACGGTCGCATTTTACTTTTCCCCAAGCAGCTGCAAACTGAACAGGTATTATTGCAACTGGATGACATTGCACCTGGAAGCACGCGAGTGCAGCTTGGAGTAATGATGCAGTGAAATGCTGACAGCAAAGTACACACCTTGGCATTGATATATGGGTCAAAGGGGCCGTACTTTTTGAGTTCTTTGATCTCAAGAGCATTCTACAAAAAGGAAGAGGAAAAAGAAAAAAAATGTGATAATGAAATGGGTGAGATATAGCAACAAAGCAATGGGTGACTCCCAAGGGGTGGAAATGACAGAACACAGCATCTTGTTCCAGTCAAAGCTATTAACAGCAGAAGCCATTCCAGCTGCCGATTCCTGTAACTTGAACCACTGTGCGTTTCATTTACAAGACTCCAAACACAAGCAGCGCAGGCTATTCGGCTGACTTCTCATTTAAAAAGGCTCCTACTAAACAGACGTTAATGAAACATTACCTGGAAGGATTACACTAAGCTTTTAATCTTTTGCAAAGGTTTCCCCTATACCTGTCCTACTCAGAGCAGAACAGTTCACACTCAGGGCCCTCAGTCAATTTTTATCAGATTGATTGTAAACAGCTAACTACACTTCTCAAATCTATTTAAACAAACTGAATGCCTGCAGCTGCGCCTGAAGACACTATTAGCCACAGCCCCAAACTGGAAAACATATCAACAAAGACATTAAAACACACACTCTTAGTTATTTCTGCTCAATCGAGGAATGGCAGTGAATAGCATTACCACCATATTTTTTATTTCGTGGTGCTTTAGAAGCAACCATTTAGCCTTGGAGCAGCCTGATGCGTCAAGTTAGCCATCTTACACTGAGGAACAGAAAACTTAAGCGTGGCACTTTGGTCCCCACAAAGTATGGCTGGAAGCAGGATTAGGACTCCCAAACCGACTCCAAGGGGAGTTTGCTCCTCAGCTTCTGAAAAGTATGTACCACAGATCAAAAATAAACAGCAGAAACTCACAGTTCCCAGCTGCTCATCTTGACTTCGACAGATTTTGCTAAACTTGAGCCATGAGGATCTGACCTACTTGTGAATTAACTTCTGATGAATATACATTTTTAGCCTTGTGGTACTAAGGCAGACAAAGCTATTTTGGTTTACTCCTCTCCTTCTGGATGAAAACCTGAATGGTTTAGGAGTTGATTCACAGGGACATTAGACATTCCTGCCTTAGGAACAGGACAACCAAGGGCTATTGTAGCTTTAACCATCTGATTTGGACTTGTTACTGCATGTCTGCCCAAGCTCACTCAGCCAAAAGTGGTTCAGTAACACTGCTCAGCTGGCCTCACTCAGTAAACCGGTTCCCTTACCCAAAACTCTTAAACAAAATCAATATTTGGGTCTTCCAGCAGCATCATTTCAGAAGTTCCCTGGAACTGTAAGATACCTGCTGACTTCCACGGGGGAGTTACACAGGAGCCAGCCCTCCAAACTGGACACAGCGGCCGCTGTACAGAATAGCTGCCTCGTACAGATCAATCCCTCTGCATCCTAGACCAAAAACTATCAGCTTGACAAAGGGAAGAAATCCACCCGATTTTTCTTCTTGCCTGATTGAGAAAATTGTTCTTTAAGATTAAGCTAAGGATTTATCTGGGGGCAAGTAGGGTTAAAATTATCTTACAACTTACAAATTAGTTAACTGGAGCAAGTGCTAGAGACAAGCCAGGAGAGTAGCTAAGAGAGCATGGCCAAACAAAGACTAAACAAAGCTGCTTTGATTAGTTCCCAAAGAAGGGAGCCAATGTATCCTCTGACAGAACTAGAAACCTTCTCAGCTATCCAGCAACTGAAAGGAAAAACTATGGGTTAGTTTTAGAAGCTCAGTATGAAAGCAGGAGACCACTTCCTAGGTGTTGAGTGGTTCTCATATTTATATCTCTCAGTATAAGCATATATACCTTACTCATTCAACCACTAACTCGGAACTGGAGGTATTTGCTTTAGGCAGTGCCCTTCTTATCCCATTAACAAGTAGGACTTTATAACAATTGCTACTAGTTTGTGAAGGGTCAGGAGTCAGCTGAAGTAGTCTCTCTCCATCCGAGGGAAGCGATTCAACGATATATTAGAGAAAAATACGCAGACCTGCTCATTCACTTTAGTATGCGAAGGTCCCTGGTGGATGAGGAGCTTCACTATGTCTGCATCTCCCTTCCAAGCTGCCAGGTGAAGAGGGTAACAGCCTTTACAGTCTGCTACGTTGGTTAGTGCGTCGTTCCTCAGCAGAACTTCCACCACATCCCTGCAAGAGAAGGAAACTTGAGTCCGTAAGATATTCCGTCCTTGTTTCTCAGCTTACATTCTGCAGTGAATATTTTACAAAAAGTTCATCTCAACAGGAGTATTTCAGATATCCTCTTGAAATGTGATTTTAAAGCGTTCCTATTAACTGCTGCCCAAGGGAAAAAAAAAAAAAAAAAAAGACTGCTGAGAGGAGCTCAGGAAAGATCTATGTTACCTTCATACTAATGGAGCTGAATAGGGACTGAAGTCATCCGCAAGCCACTCTGGTGAAAAGTGAATTGCACCAGCACAATGAAGATGAATAAGGATTTTAACTCTATTCAATTTCTCAATATCTTAAGTAGCAATGAACAATACAAGATTTACCACGCTGAAGACTGGAGTTACTTAAAAATGTAATACGCACGAAAGCGAATTTTAAGTGGTGCAGGCACAGCAACACATTGGACACCAGACAGACTGCAGAGGACTGTTACTGGAGAAGCCACCTGTAGTATGTTGTTATATCGTATCCAAATTGCTTATAAATAAAAGGGTGGTTGAAAACCTCAGTGTTCTGCCAAATTTTTAGAGATGTACAATCATACTGTGCAGCAGCCAATGCCTCTATAGCTTCACTGCACTCATGTTCTTCACTTCTTGTCCTGAAGATGGTGTAGTGCTGCACCATGGCCACGTTTTCAATGGAAACAGCATTTGACTGGTGAATGAATTAGACAGAAACCGTAGCTTTAAAGCACATAGTATCCCCTACGATCAAAGGCATTATAAGATGACTCACTTATGACCATTCAAAGCAGCATGGTGCAGTGGAGTGTATCCAGTACTGTCAACGCAGTTCACATTTGGCCCTCTCCAGATGCTGCAAGACAGAAAACGTACAGGGAACACTTAGGCACACACCAAACAGACGGACAGCTGGCAAGGACAAGTTTCAGCAGAGTTCTCACACCAAGCTGGTTATCTGGAAGCAAACCAGTGGCTGGACAGCTGTGGTTAAGAGCAGTAATACAGAGAACAGACCGCACAGCACTGCGTCGAGCAGAGGGGTTAGTGTCACAAAGCACACAGCCGGTACAGGGATTCACTACTCGATGCATTATCAGACCATCGTGGTTTTAAATCAGAGCTCCCACGTTCTGCTACTAGACGTCTTTCAGCCATACACGCGCTTGCCAAAAAGCATCTTCAGAAGAACATGTGTCTATTAAAGTTAACCACATGAGACAGTAAACCATCAACCCACCGCTAATTCACACCCCTCTGAAGAATTTTGATGGGTCTGGGAAACCCTCTTCCCTCCACGGCAAGAGTCACTAGGGGTGTAAGTCAGAGACTGTGGGATACCGAGCCTGCCCTTGGTCACCAGTGTGATCCACGCTGACTTCTTACTGTCCAAAAAATCCATCTGACAGCTGTTGGCAGTCTATACGAAAGAGTAGGTGGTCTCCGAGCACTTCTGACAATATTGTTAACTTCCCTCCCTTGTTCAAAAGTTGAACAGCAAGGATTTAAGGATTAGCCCTGTAGAGGATTAATCTTCCCTCTAACCCCTGCAAGGTGTCCTATTTAAAACAGCGGAGAAACGCATGTGTAAGAAGCTGGCACTGCTCTTGAGCTTGCTGTTAAAGGAGTTTGGTTTCTACTGCCACCCCTCACCAGTGCTACCACCCTCTCCCAGAAAGGGCACAGGAACTCACATCAATATGTTCTTAAACGCAAATTGAAGCCGTTCGCCTTTCCTGAAGATGGCCCTCTCCATTACAACCCATCGCTCCTTGTATGCTGGCCTGTTTTAAACTTAGTACTTTCAAGAATTATACAGGATTTATAAGCCTCGACAATCACGCTTTTGCTAATACAGTACATTTTCCCGCTTTGTTTTCTTTAACTAGGGGTAGAACTTAACAGCACCCTCTCGCCCCCAATTTAATTGGTTTAAAATAAACTGCTGCTTTTTATGAAGTAGGCCTTTCCTGATCATTTCATTTCCTCCCCAGCATGTAATTGCTACGACTCATTGTATGATACAGAGGCAGCCCGAGCAGTAACTAGGTTTTCTAAAATAACAGTCATTACTAGAGGGCTCCTAGCCAGAAAAAACTCTATACCACAGTGTATAAAAGCAGCAGGAGAGGCACCAAACCAACAGGGATCTCGTGCAGACCAAGTGGAAATTCAGAAGTAAACTAAGCAGCATGTTCACTCTCAAGCACGTTTCAGGTGGGATTCAGGAGCACGCCCTGAAATGGAAAGTCTCTCCCCGCCAAGCAAGTCCTGATCCAGCAAAGCGTTATAAAAGGCTTTGCAGTCCTGAGACAGACACGAGTTCTGCTAGAGGAGAGGCAGCTAAGGGGAAACTTTATCCAAGAGGACAGGGAAGTAAGCCACACAATCCAATTTGCAAAGGATCAGAAGGCTTATCCAGAGGCATTCCCGCACACCACACACCATCCTGCGCTTCAGAAGGAAACGGCAAACCACTACATGCATGCAATGCATTTCAAGCGCTACTCGCATCGTTTGCGGGTGATGGCTTAAACTATGTCCAGAAGATACGTGAGACACCAAAAAACCGATCCGATTGAGTCCAGGAGGTGCCCTACCCCATCCAGCTGCAACAGTCCTGAAGCATGAAGGGGACCTGAGTAATTCTCAGGCTTTGGTTTATTTTTGGCAGTGGGCTCTTGCAATGTGGTTGCCCAAATAATTTATTGCTGGATTTAAAGTGCCAATTAATGGTTAAAACTAGAGCCAGAAAGACTTGCATGTAGTCTGGAGCAGTTATAAACACCACGCCTGCGCATCCCCTTGCACAGGCTGCTAACCTGACCGAAGCCAGAGAGCCCAGTGGTTTTACACGTTAAACAGAGCTGTGTTTTGATGCTGAGCTCAAGAATTAAAACATGTGTGTACACATGAAAAACCAGCAGCATTTAATACAAATATTTCCTTCAGCTGAAGTTACGAAATGAGGAAAACCGAGGTTAGTGGTGTAATGGGCATAAACCAAGCCACTTGCTCAAAGTGATCCACCCAGTCGGCAGCAAGACCGGGGACTGGAGCCCAGGATATCCGTCTCCACCAGAACATGGTCTCCCTGTGAGAAAGCACACTTCCACAAACTTCCTTAGAAATTCTCTGGTTAATGCTTTAGAGTAAAATGCAAAGTTCACTCAAGGGATTCAGAGGAGGAAAAAAGTTGGGAGTCCAAGATGGAGCTGGTTCAACAGCGAGCGCTGGGTACTGTGGAAATCAACTGCTAAGATTTTAAGATATTAAAAAAAAAAAAATCTGCTGTGTCCTTTCCTCCCCCTTGCCCTTTTATTCTTGCAAATAAAGAAAGCTTTTATCAAAGAAAGGTCAAATCACCCAGAAGTTCAGACTGAAAGGATCCAAGAAGAGAACTATTTATATTTAGATGTGAGGACTGCAGTGAAGTATATCACTCTCTCCCCTCCTCTTCCTCTCCAGCTCTGCTAGCAAGGCCATAGAGTTCTCCTGACTTAACAGAAACCAAATCTTTCATCCCATTTATTTATGTAATGCATAGCATTAAAGTGACAGACTAAGATAAGATCCCAAGCTTCTCATGTTAGATCTCAACACAGAAAAATAACTCCACTATGGTCCGCAGAAACTAGGAGTTGGAAAAACACTAGCATGGGAACGTTACTTCTGAAAGACACTGCAATTCCCCCAGAGCACTATTTGCAGCGCCTGGTGCATCCGATCTGAATGACGTCTCCGGCAAAATCTGTAGGAACTGTGGCAGAACTACTGCAAACAAAGCCCAGGCTCTACTCTAAAGTATTAGGAAAACCCCCTCAGACCACTTTGGGGAGGAGGTGGGATTAAAATTACATCTTTTGAAGTGAGGAGTCTGTCAGGTCTTTTCAGACCAGTCAGGGAAATTTAAAGAGGTTTAAGTTAACAGGAACAACTCAGCAAGTCTTTGAGATGTCAGGCTCATGGGTACGCGGGGCTCCGTTCAGCCAGCCCCTCTTTGGGAACTCTTATCGGACAAATAAATATGGAATAGTGTCTAACTCCTCTTGGTTCAGGCCAGTGTGGGCACATTTCACAACACGGAGAACAACAGAAATTATACATGAAGAATCAAGTAAGTGGGGTTTATGGAGACACAAAAATCACTGCAGGGAAATCAGGAGTCCGCAGCAGCTGGGCAGGCTCAATCCCTTTCAGAGGGGTTTCCCCTTCAAGCCACTAACCTCCCGCTGTGCTAAGGCACAGATGCTCACATCAAGGCCCAGGGCCCACATCTCCACCTAGAATATATTACCTCCAATGGCTTGCAGATGAGAAATGAAATGAGAGAGAGATGAGCACTTATTTATGCACTGTGAGATCATGCAGTGGTAATGCCTGAATCATTTCATCTTAACAATACCTACTTACAGACCTGTTGCCCTGATTTTACGAGGCAGAGGGGAAGTAATTCAAAACAGGGCAGTATAAACGTTGCCTTCGGCAAAAACAGACAAGACAGAACAGAATGCAGGAAATCCTAACGCCAGACCACTGCGATACTCTTCCAGCCTTGCAAGCCAGGACGTAGATGACGACTCTGGAAGCCACAAGGGCTTTACTCCCCACTGTGCTGCGTAGCCTTGGGAAAAGCTCTACTTCCAGACCTCAGTTTTCCCATCTGTAAAATGGAAATACAGCACTGAGAGAAGCAGAGTACAAAACCAAGTACTGTCTACGTACAGTGTGATTTTGGGCTGTTTCTGATCAAACAGAAAAACAGATCCCGGCACAGGAAGGAGAATGCTGTAAATACAAGTCTCCAATAAAGCTCAGAGAAGGTCTGGAGCCAATTCGACTACCACTGCTGTTTGCTTTCTTTTCTCCCCCAATCCCCAAAAACCCCTTTACATCAAAGAGGGGGTCTCCGTTACGAAAGCAAACTTCTCAAATGATTACCTAGATTTCACCTCCCTTTGGCTGCACCAGAGAAGTATTCTAACGACGTTTCTGATGTATCTGTTTAAGGCAATTAAGACCAAACATTAAGGACATAAGAAAAGTTCTAAAAATTGCAAAATCTGCTCTGTTTAAACTAGTTCTTGCGCTCAGTTTTCTCTTGCTCCATGATCCAGCAAGTGCTGTATCCTTTTAAATAAAGCTTCCCATTTGTAAAAATTGCTGAATAAAGCACATTGCTTTAGGTCATGATAAAACCCCATAGTTCCTTTAAACAAGACCATATTTGTCCTCTTGCTTTTCCATTTATTTCTTCCTGACTGTAGTAACTTTACTCACAGAACCATCTGGGGCAGTGGGCTAGAGCAAAGGCCAAGCCACCTAAAGAACAACTCGCTGTTTTCAAGTCAAACGATGAGTCTTCAGAGCTGATTTATAGTCTCACTTATGTGGATTACAGAAGCACCCGGAGATTTCAGGGACCAGTACTCTTACTTGTGCAAGATCAGACAGCAGAGGCCATTGCTACCCCGTGTATTCACGTACTCCACGCTAAAGACAAAAGGAACAGTATTAGTACTATCACTGCTTTAGATACAAAAAACCAGTGCACGTGAGTGGCTTGGCCCAAGGTCACAAAGGAAGTTTAAAGTAGCTGAGAACTGGTCCCAGATGTTTGGAGACTTAGTTCAATGCCTTAGAGACAAAGTGTCATGAGGGCGGTTAAGGCTGGAGGCAGATTAACTCCTAGTCCATTGCCCGGAGGACATCACAAGCAAGTCAATACACGCATCTCAGCTATTAATATCCATACAACTGCTAGATTCTTGCAACGCTAACACAACCCTCTTTTGGTATTTCCTGCTTATAGACTGGTAATACAAACAACTCAAATGCTTTGTGCAAGA